TTTTTTTTTTTTTTGGTAGTTTTTATTTATTCTATCAGTCTTTTTAACAAATGTTTATTGCTGCATTCCCCCCCAGTGTATCATTGTTTTACTGCCCTTGTAGTACTGGAATTTAGTTGAAAGAATAAAACGTTTACTTCTAATCTGCTTGTTTTTTTAATGCACAGATAGATGAGTAGTATGTGAATAAAACCAATGTTTTAAATGTAAGCATTTTCCAAGAGTCCAATGAGGTTGATTTTCTGTTATAGTTTAAAAAGCAATCTTTTAATATACCAAATCATCTAAGATTTAAGTGCTATTATAAAAAACTTGAGTTCTGATTCTAAATTACTTCTCCTGTAACTCTTATAACTTAACTGTATTATAGAATGTTTGGTACATAATAGATCAGTTTTAACAGCTGTTGAGTTTTTTCTCAGAGATTAGTAGAATCCAGTTTTTTTTTTTTTTTTTAGGGATTTGATATGTGAACACATGATTCAGCAAATTTAACTCATTTTTCCATACATGGTGGCTTAGGTTTCCTACAAAGAAGAGAACAAAATATGCTTTAGTGAATTTTTACTTGTTGAATTCGAATAGCATATTTCCACTAATTAAATCAGTCATAAATGTACTGGGAAATACTCATTTATAATTGACCTAATTAGTGAAACAAATTAAGAAATAGACTTTTTTCTTTTTAACTTTGGTATGGTAATTGTATTTCACCAATTCTTTCTTTAAAACAATGCCCAAATGTGGTATAGGGCTTTCACAGGATCCCCAGGTAGTGTTTGAGGAGCATTGGTTTAGTGTATGGTAGCCATAAGGTGTATAATTCAACCTGATTTTAATGATCTAGTACAGGGATTATTAACCTTGGCACTACTGACACTTTAAGCTGGATAAATCTTTTTTGTGAGGGGCTGTTCTGTGCAATGTAGGATGTTTAGCAATATCCCTGGCCTCTGTAGAGAGTTCCTGGGTGGCAAAAATGGTTATACGCTCGATTATTAGCTGAAAGGTTGGCGGTGTGAACTCACCCAGGGGTGCCTTGGAGGACAGGCGTGGCGATCTGCTGCCAAAAGCCTTAACTCTATGGAACGGTTCTATTCTGCACACATGGGGCTGCCATGAGTCAGAACTGACTCCAAAGCAACAATAGCTGGCCTCTATCCACAAGATGCTAGTAGCAATCCCGTAGTTGTGACAATTAAAAATGTCTCCAAGACACTTTCTGTGTTGGAGATGTTGTGTGGAGTGAGCAAAATTATCCCCAGTTGAGACCCACTGGTGTAGTAGGATAGCACTTCTAGGAGGAGAATGCAAGTAGTTAATTAAAATATGGAGGTGTGGGAGTTAGAGTGATTGTAAATTTGTTTTATACCTTCTTAACCAAGCCAGGACGAAACAGTGTATGTTCTTTTGTTAAATAAACAATGAATTTTCACACAGATTTAAATTTGTAAAAGAGCTGGCCTTTATACTTGGTTGGAAGGCAAGGTATACTAAAAGGAAAATCAGTGCTGTTAATCTAAATTAAACCACAAGTAATACAGTTTTAGTTCTAGACTTATTTTTGACTAAAAATAAAATTACTGATACCACCCCCACCAAAAACATCCTAGTTGACCATTTTAAGTAGTGTGTGATATAATTCCAGGAAAAAAAAAACGCATTTTTTCAGATTTAGTTATATGGACTCAGTAGTTGGTTACTCTAGTCCAAATACCAATCCCATATGATCTCAATAGAAAGATTATATTAAGGTACATAACCAGTTGCCATTGAGTTGATTCTGACTCACGGTGACTGTGTGTGTCAGCAGAATTGTGCTCCATAGGATTTTCAATGGCTGATTTTTCAGAAGTAGCTTGCCAGCCCTTTCTTCTGAGGTGCCTCCGGGTGGACTCAAACCTCTAACCTTTTGGTTAGCAGCCACATGTGTTAACTGTTTGCACCACTCGGGGCCTAGAGATCTTAATTTCCAAAGTTACCTTAAATTGCTTTTAATGTGTAAATATCTAAAGAATTTAGTGTGCTGACAGTCATCTTACTCTTGTAATAAAAGGCAGTCCAAAGAGCACATACTTAGAATTCGTTGTATTTTTCAGGTAAAAAGGATAATCTGAGAAATAAATATTGGAGGCTTAAAATATCAGAGTCTAGTGCAAGAACTTAACATGAACCTAAAGAAAATGGTTTCCAAATGTGACATTTATCGTATTACCTGAAGAGCTTTTTCTAGGAAAGATTCTCAGGTTCCATCCCTAGAGACTGCTTTACAAGAATTGGGGGTGCAGTGTTGGACTCTTTAACAAAGGTCATCCAAGGAGAGAGGGTTGAAACTGTTTTTACCTTATTGATCTATCCATTCCCTTACTTCAAAATTACAAACTAATTGGTGTTCAAAATGAAATAATTGATTAAGTGTATTCTGCTAAAGTGCCTAATTGTTCTGTCTACTCATGGACGTAGCTCCAGCAATTCTCTGCTTCAGCATTTGCTCCTTCGGAATGAGCACTAGATCCAAATCCCCATCTTATTCAAAGACACAGCTCCAGCAGTCCTCTCCTCTCTGCATCACCAGATTTTTTCTTCTCCAGTGGATCATTCCTATCGGCATAAAAGGCTTTTAAAAATCTTTTTGACCCTGTGTCCCTCTCTAGCTTGTTCCCTATTTTTCTGCTTCCCTTTATAGCAGAACTCAAGGATTTGCTATGTACTTCTTCCAATTTATCTTCTCTTTTTCCCTACGAAATTATATTATTAGGAAAAAACTCAAGCATAGTAAAGTTTAAATAGTCCAATGATCCACTGAAATTGAACAGTTACTATTTTACCATTATTTGCTTTATGTGTGTGTCAAAAAAAGTTGTAGACATGACAGTAAGGCAGTAATATTAACACCTTTAAAATAATTCCCTAATATTTAACATCTAGTCCATACTCAGATTTTCCCATTTGTCCCCAGAATGACTTCTGGGCAACAGTACCTCAGATGATGCTATGGTCTTCATATTACATTACATGATGTCTGTATGGCTTTTCCAGAACTAGTGACTTGGTTAGGTCATCTGATAGGCGACGTTTTCAGTACTCCACTGTTTTTATTATAGTCACTAATGATTCCCACATTGCTAAATCTAATCAACAGTCAACATTTGATCTTGAAACACTTTCAGCCGGCTTGCAAGAGACCGCACTTGTCTGATTTTCCTTCCACCTTACTGGCTTCTCCATCTGTCTATCCTTTGGCCTGGCCAGTTTTCATTTTCCCTGAACTTTAAAAAACAGTCAGGCCCCAGGGCTTGACCTTGAGCTGCTTGTATACTCTGTTCACATTCACTTTGATCACACCTAATTCTAAAGACAATTCTCTCCTTCAATTCTGGGTTATATTCACCTGCCTGTGTGGTAATATCTCAAATTTAATGTCCAGAACCAAATTCATTTTTGCCACTTAAACTTGCTCCTCCTCATCACCTCCAACTTGTTAGGTGCCGTTCCAACCCATAGTGACCCTATGTACAACAGAACAAAACACTGCTCGGTCCTGTGCCATCCTCGTAATAATTGCTGTGTTGAGCCCATCGCTGCAGCCATGATGTCAGTCCATCTCGTTCAGGGTCTTCCTCTCTTTCGCTGATGCTCTACTGAGCATGACGTCATACTCCAGGGATTGGTCCCTCCTGATAACACGTCCAAAGTATGTGAGACGAAGTCTTGTCCTTGCATCTAAGGAGCATTCTGGCTGTCCTTCCAACACAGATTTGTTCGTTCTTTTGGCAGCCCATGGTATATTCAGTATTCTTCGCCGGCACCACAATTCAAACGCATCAATTCTTAGGTCTTCCTTATTCGTTGACCAGCTTTCACATGCATATGAGGCAATTGAAAACACCATGGCTTGGGACAGGGATACCTTAGTCCTCAAAGTGACATCTTTGCTTTTCAACACTTTAAAGAGGTCTTCTGCAGCAGATTTTCTCAATGCTGTATGTCATTTGATTTCCTAACTGCTGCATCCATGGGTGTTGATTATGGATCCAAGTAAAATTGAAATCCATGACAACTTCAGTCTTTTCTCCGTCTATCATGTTATTTATTGGTCCATTTGTGAGGATTTTTGTTTTCTTTTTGTGAGGTGTAATACATACTGAAGGCTGTAGTCCTTGATCTTCATCAGTAAATGCTTCAAATTCTCTTTCAGCAACCAAGGTTGTGTCATCTACATATTGCAGGTTGTTAATGAGTCTTCCTCAGATCCTGATGCCCTGTTCCTCTTCATATAGTTCAGTTTCTCAGATTATTTGCTCAGCAAACAGACTGGATAAGTGTGATGAATGCATACAACCCTGACACACACCTTTCCTGCTTTTAAACCATGTAGTAATCCCTTGTTCTGTTCAAATGATTGCCTCTTGGTCTGTGTACAGGTTCCACATGAGCACAATTAAGTGTTCTGGAATTCCCATTCTCCACAATATTATCCATAATCTGTTATGATCCACACAGTCAAATGCCTTTGCATAGTCAATAAAACAAAGCTAAACATCTTTCTGGTATTCTCTGCTTTCAGCCAGGATTCATCTGACATCAGCAGTGATATCCCTGGTTCCACATCCTTTTCTGAATCAGGCTTGTATTTCTGGCAGTTCCTGTTGATGTACTGCTGCAGCCACTTTTGAATGATCTTCAGCAAAGTTTTAATTGTGTTGATATTAATGATATTGTTTGATAATTACCACATTCTATTGGGTCACCTTTCTTTTGGATGGGCACAAATCGTTGGCCAGGTAGCTGTC